CTGTAAAATATATATTTTATAACAGGCCTGAACAGTTTTCGTTAATTCATTATGATAGAGAAACGAATACAAGTTTTGGATTTTATACCGCAAAAAAATGACGACTTTCAAACCGTTTAATGAACAACCTGTCTCAATGCTGAGATGGACTATAACATCTGTTAGAACATGATTTTCTCCTACAGAGTGAAAACGCTATTTTACTGTAGAATTCCATTCAGTTGCCATGCCCTGAAGAACAATGGTGCTCGATCTGAAGAGGGGCAACATTTTCCTGCACCGTTCAATGAATGCTTCCTATTTCAGTTCATTTTGCTATCAGATATATGAGTTGTCAGCTTCGACATCGCGAAACGTGACATGATTGACGTCACAAGACGCCAATGACGCGAGTCGTGCATATTTCCCGCGAGTGTCTCACAGACACAAACTGTTATCTCGTTTTGACTATTCCTATCAGCTAATGCTGTTTGTATTGAACGTTATCAATGAGAACTTTAAATATCTACTGTAATACAAAGCTTAGACATATATTCTCAAGCGTAATGCTGTTAACGTATATTTCCTAAGGCGAAAGATGATTTGCTTTGAGAGACGATATTTAAATATAGACATTCTACCCGCGTGCATTTGCTTAGATATTGCGGGTGAGAACATGAAAGCTTGCTTTGTGTTATATCGCTTAACGTCATATCAACAGCCTCCAGGTGGATGAAAGGTGATTGTTCGTGTTTTCGGTAGGTTGCAATATGCTCGTGTTAGTCACAATGTGATAAAGTTTATAGTGCTGCCTTACTGAAGTATACCGCCGAAGTTCTCAAATTTCACACCTCGCCCGGTCGCTTTATAATGATAATGAGAGAATATGAAGGGAAAAGGTGAGAATAAAAAGTCAATCCCTACCTACATCTTTCAAAAATATAAAATGTTGGCTTTAGTAAGAAACCAGGCAAAGCCCAGATGTTCCGGAAGAGTGAGCGTCATCTAACTTTGAGAAGCTACTATTGAGCAATTGTCAACGACCAAGTCAATATTTCCAGATGAATGCTGCGATTCTAAATCTAAAAGAGCTTCAAAAGGGAAGAATACACATTACAGGCAAAATGTTTTCATTCTTCTTCCTTATTCATATTCATCAGTATGTCTGTTGGTTCCGTTGTAGTTTACCTTGTTCTAATTTAGGAACGTGATATCATTTACTTGGATTAACCAAGTTTTATATATCGGATAGCATCAAAGAAGAAGAAGACGCTTAATCTTCCGAAACACCTAGTCTTATTCTTCTTGTGCTTTTTCCTGAGTCTCCGTGTACCTTTTTTTCTTGTGTTGATATTTTGCCCTGGTTCCATTGAATTTCGGTATGGATTGTTATTCTGTTCACGTGTAGGCAGATAATTTGTTGTTATCGATATTTTAGCTTTAACAACACGGACTCGGACTCATGTCTGGATATGAATTAGAAAGATATCCGATCAGGTCAGTAAACAATTTATCATTAAGCGTTGAAATATCCTATATCACATAAAGTAATTAAAACGCTTTAAATAGCCAAGGGAAATAACTCCATATTGACGTTTGATAATGACATTATAAATGAAAAATTAAAAAAGAAGAAAAAAACCACCAAGAAAACTTAAGCAATTAATACTGATTTTGTCTCATATCCGTTAAGCACGATTCGTATTTCCGAAAATGTCAGTTAATTTAATTTATTTTTTGGCAGAATTTTGTCTCAGCAACAGTAACAGCCGTATCAGAAAAGGTGTAGGATGATTAAGAACTGACATATTGAGTGTCGGAAACACGGAAAAGGATACCGCCACCAATGGTATATACAGGGCACAGTCGCACTTCTTTATCTCGAACTCGACGGGATTATGGGAAAACTTTTAAAATTATGAAAACAATTATACGAGTTCTAGATTACGAGGTTCGACTCTGTGTTAACAGTACTCCATATATCGTAAGAATACAGGAGAAAGAGGGACGGTAAAGGGGAGTGTGAGTTTTGGAGGAGTATGTAGGGAAAAGGTGGTGAGGGGGAGTAAGGGGTATGTGGTAGACAGGGGAAGTGACTTTAGGTGTAAGGAGGAGGGAGAGGGGTATGGTGTAAGGAGGAGGAGGGAGAGAAGTATGGTGTAAGGAGGAGGGAGAGGGGTATGGTGTAAGGAGGAGGAGGGAGAGAAGTATGGTGTAAGGAGGAGGAGGGAGAGGGTGGAGGAGAGAATGGTGTAAGGAGGAGAGGGGTATGGTGTAGAGGGGAGAGGGGTATGCTGTAAGGAGGAGGAGGGAGAGGGGTATGGTGTAAGGAGGAGGGAAAGGGGCATGATGTAAGGAGGAGGGAGAGGGGTATGGTGTAAGGAGGAGGGAGAGGGGTAGGGTGTAAGGAGGAGGAGGAGGGAGAGGGGTATGGTGTAAGGAGGAGGAGGGAGAGGGTAATGTTGTAAGGAGGAGGAGGAGGGAAAGGGGTATGGTTTGAGGAGGAGGGAGAGGGTAATGGTGTTAGGAGGAGGAGGTTGATGGTGAAAAGAAGAGGAGGATGAGGGAGAGGAGTATGGTGTAAGGAGGAGGAGGGAGAGGGTTGTGGTGTAAGGAGGAGAGAGAGGGTTATGGTGTAAGGAGGAGGAGGGAGAGGGGGTGGTGTAAGGGTATGGTGTAAGGAGGAGGAGAGAGAGAGTATGGTGTAAGGAGGGAGTGGGTGTAGGGAGAGGGGTATGGTGTAAGGAGGAGGGAGAGGGGTGTGATGTA